AGGCAAAGTACTTAAATATGTGTATTACAGAAGAAACCATACATTCTAGACTGATTTTTTCTTATATTAAAAAAAGCATATCAGTGAGTAGGAGAGAGAGTTAAAAGTATACTTGAATATGTATGTTATAAAGGTTGAAACTCTTTTTTGCTTTCCTGAGTAAGGCAGCTCCAACATGCAGGTGTTTCAGCCTTGCTCAGTGCTTTCTTTGGTGGTGGTGCAGCCAGTGGAAAATACGGAGCGTAGGGGTTGGTAATATTCTCTAGTTGCGCCGGGATTGGCTCAGTGTTCAGTCACTCATGAGGACACTACGTCACCACAAAATCTACAGGGAGAGCTCGAAAATTCAAGCCCCTTGGGTGCTGCCATAGAGTTACATTAGAAGTGCCCATCCAAGAAGGCTCAAGGTCATTGGCCACAAATAAAATGACGTGAAATCATGTTATATGTACCGTAGCTTTGATTGGACTGATGATGTCAACATCATACTTTCAAAATCTTAGCTAGCAGTCATCATCATGAATCAAGTCGACAATCTACTGGCAAATCCTTTTCAATCCTTGTCATATGAAGATAAATTATGAAGAGAATTTATAAATAAAATGTATCGTTGCACATCGGCCATTACACTACAAGTTGGAAATCGCAAATTCAACAATGAGTGGTTTGGAAGGAATCAGTGGGTAACTGCAAGCATTGCAAAGCAATCACTAGCCTGGTATTCAGTGGAGTGGGTGTGTGGTCCAAGTCTGGATTTAAGGGTCTCTTTTCCAAGCTTAACAGGATAAACACTGAACATTGGCCATGCTGTCAATGCAGCATGATTTCTACCGCGTTCAAAACAACTGGAAACTCGGAACTGGGAAATCTCAAACTTCAGTGAGTTCAAGACAACTGGGAACTCTGAAATAAATGAGCTCCGACTGGGAAAATACGTTTTGAACGGTCATCCAACTCGGAATTCCAAGTCGGGAACTCGGGCCTCTTTCTAGAGCTCCAACCTGAAGATCACTGACGTCATGATTCGACCTTGTTTTTTTCAGAGTTCCCAGTTGTCTTGAAAGCACCATAAATCCAGAGAATGCCAGACTTTGATGACAAAGTTTGATGACAAAATTTGGCCACGAAGGACCGCCACACAACCTTCCTGTTCAAATGAGCACAGCACAACAAGGTGAGTCCAAAAATGTATTGTATGCTGCTGCATACAGTGAGGGAAAAAAGTATTTTATCCCCTGCTGATTTTGTATGTTTGCCCACTGACAAAGAAATGATCAGTCTATAATTTTAATGGTAGGTTTATTTGAACAGTGAGAGACAGAATAACAACAAAAAAATCCAGAAAAACGCATGTCAAAAATGTTATTAATTGATTTACATTTTAATGAGGGAAATAAGTATTTGACCCCGTCTCAATCAGAAAGATTTCTGTCTCCCAGGTGTCTTTTATACAGGTAAAGAGCTGAGATTAGCAGCACATTCTTAAAGGGAGTGCTCCTAATCTCAGTTTGTTACCTGTATAAAAGACACCTGGGAGACAGAAATCTTTCTGATTGAGAGGGGGTCAAATACTTATTTCCCTCATTAAAATGTAAATCAATTAATAACATTTTTGACATGCGTTTTTCTGGAAGGTGACAACAGTTGGTGTGATTATTCGCAAATGGAAGAAACACAAAATAACTGTCAATCTCCCTCGGCCTGGGGCTCCATGCAAGATCTCACCTCGTGGAGTTGCAATGATCATGAGAACGGTGAGGAATCAGCCCAGAACTACACGGGAGGATCTTGTCAATGATCTCAAGGCAGCTGGGACCATTGTCACCAAGAAAACAATTGGTAACACACTACGCCGTGAAGGACTGAAATCCTGCAGCGCCCGCATGGTCCCCCAGCTCAAGAAAGCACATATACAGGCCCGTCTGAAGTTTGCCAATGAACATCTGAATGATTCAGAGGAGAACTGGGTGAAAGTGTTGTGGTCAGATGAGACCAAAATCGAGCTCTTTGGCATCAACTCAACTCGCCGTGTTTGGAGGAGGAGGAATGCTGCCTAACCATCCCCACCGTCAAACATGGAGGTGGAAACATTATGCTTTGGGGGTGTTTTTCTGCTAAGGGGACAGGACAACTTCACCGCATCAAAGGGACGATGGATGGGGCCATGTACCGTCAAATCTTGGGTGAGAACCTCCTTCCCTCAGCCAGGGCATTGAAAATGGGTCGTGGATGGGTATTCCAGCATGACAATGACCCAAAACACATGGCCAAGGCAACAAAGGAGTGGCTCAAGAAGAAGCACATTAAGGTCCTGAAGTGGCCTAGCCAGTCTCCAGACCATAATCCCATAGAAAATCTGTGGAGGGAGCTGAAGGTTCGAGTTGCCAAACGTCAGGCTCGAAACCTTAATGACTTGGAGAAGATCTGCAAAGAGGAGTGGAACAAAATCCCTCCTGAGATGTGTGCATACCTAGTGGCTAACTACAAGAAACGTCTGACCTCTGTGATTGCCAACAAGTGTTTTGCCACCAAGTACTAAGTCATGTTTTGCAGAGGGGTCAAATACTTATTTCCCTCATTAAAATGCAAATCAATTCATAACATTTTTGACATGCGTTTTTCTGGATTTTTTTGTTGTTATTCTGTCTCTCACTGTTCAAATAAACCTACCATTAAAATTATAGACTGATCATGTCTTTGTCAGTAGGCAAACGTACAAAAATACTTTTTTCCCTCACTGTAAATTATGTAATATGCCAGGGAGATATGTATACTGTAGCTAAGACAGTAATACTAAGTTTATGTTGTGTAGTAAGCTGTTAGTAACCCATGTGCCTCCCTTTTCCCCTCATAACTTAGCTTACTGTTCCGACTTGGTGGTGCACATGTAGCCTATAGCCTGTTTTAGAGAAATGTCATGATCGAATATTGTAAGATTTTTCATTGTCTGCTTATATGCCCCCTTTATTTATCCTAAGGTTCTGACTTGGTGTACAGAGAGAATACTGTAAGTACGGCCCATGTTCTGAATTCTTTCCCTGTACATTTCAAAAGTGCTGAACAAATAGTTATATTGATTACGTCCATCCTAGCTCTCTCATTAATGTCTTAATCGAAATTATGAATTGCCTCTTATCCGCTCGTCGTCCCCTTAGGCCATAGTTTGTACATCTCAATTGTCAGTAGAAACCACATTTGTTTAAGCAAGTCAGCCATATCAGCTATGTTTTTTTTAAAGGCAGTAAATGAGGCTAAATGAACTGTTTTGCTGCAAGACAAGGCTCCGCTGATAGCCAGGTGTAGCAGCGGTATGGTTTTGGGACTTCTGTTGTGACTCTGCTGTTGGGACAGCTTTATGTAGGACCTAACAGTTTGTGGGCACCGTTTGTCACTGTTATTGTGCAATTAATGTATTGTTTAGTGTTGTGTTGTGTAGTGAGTGGCTTTGTGTTATGTGAATTATTTAACAAACTATTTCAGTGTCTCTGTGCGTCTCCCAAAATGAAGGAACGGACAGACATTTATTCATTGAGAATTCTAAAACAAAATGGTCGTACAATATTTTTATATGCACACGTCAGAGACAAAATCCCTCCCCTCTGTAGGCAGGCTGTAGTTTTCCACTTTATAATTGCTCTCCTGACCATCAGTATACACACACACACACACACACACATACACACATACATACACACACACACATGCATACACACACACACACATGCATACACACACATATGCACACACATATACACATTTACACACATACATTTTCTTATCATAGTGTCTCTCCTCCCTAAATTCCTCAGTTACCTTGGTTTCTCAGTTGCCTGTAGACAGTTCTCCTTGTCCTTTGTTGTCTGGCCTAACTCTTACTCACATTGCTAAATAGTAGCACAATGTCATAATCTTTACTGGTCCTACACTCACACATTACCAGGTAGTAGATTCTAACACATCTCACACAGTTTCAGAGTGTAATAATTAGTCACTACTAAGAAAGTACTAATCATACTTAAAACAAGAACATTTCACAACTATATTTAAGGGTGGAACATTTAGTCATTACTTTTAACCTGATTCCTATATCACTTTGCTGGCATGCATTAAAAAAAAATTGTTTTGCCCCACCAAGATTTACATGCTAAAATCGCCACTGCATCAGATAGATTGCTGTCTTATCTTGGCTGCATGGTGGAAGATGAGATGAGCAGAGTAAAGCCTCTCCTGCAGTGAGAAGGTTTATGTACGGAGAACACACCAGACACAGACCCCCAGGGTCCAGATTCCAAGCAGGCACAATGTGCACCATCCATATAAATAATGTTCCAGAGTGTAGACAAAATGTCATACCCATCTGAGCTAAACCTAAATTTTCATGCTCCAGCCAACATGAGTCTTTCTCTGTTTTTTCAACTACTATACCAGGCCAATAACTCTGTCGCTAGAGTCCATTCACATACCACACAAGCCACAGCAGTGCATGCTGTTGACAAGTTGCACTAAATGCAGCAAGCCTCAAATGCTGAGTATGGGTTTGTTTCAACTTTACATTCCATTTATTCTACATTGTTACAGAGATCTACTTTCAAATCACTTCCAACTGCACTATATTTTTTATTTTCATAAATCCTCCTTTTGACAAGGTATATGAAACATTCTAATATAAACATTTAATAAAATAATTTGTGTAGCATTGCAACATTTCTTAATGAAGTGACACATTTGTTCTATTCCATTCCAAATGGTATCCAGAATGCTTATTGAAAGTGCAACCAAAACCAGTTCCAGGCAAACTGACATTTTCTCTACCATTTCAGAGAGGTTGGGTTAAATGCGGAAGACACATTTTGGTTGAATTCATTCAGTTGTACAACTGACAACTATACCTACCCCTTTTCCTTCCCATTTACAATACACACACCAATAATGGAATGACAACATTTTATGAAAAACTAACAGGACTTCCTTTATTGGCTAAGGGATGTTGCCACAACATTTTGTTTTTTGGAAATACTGGTGTATGTGTTTTCTGACTCTTTTCATTCAATGCCTTCGGGAAGTATGTACAAAGAACATGGAATACATACCATTTCAATGATAAAAAAACAAGTTTAAACTATACATTCAAATATAGCCTCTACTTTCCTCATTGCAATGTTTTCACTTCTCACAACAACAAAAAAAATTGATCATCAACACATATGATTCTTTAGGGAATCTGATGAGAGCTTATGAGGTAGATTCTGTTTTCTGTTTGTCTTCTGTTTAGGTTGAAGGAGCGGCTGAATTCAAATATTCATATAAAAATCTAGGATAACTTTACAGTAGGTTTCTAAAAAGGAACTGGTTTCTTTGAAAAGTTGATTCATCCAAAGTCATACAATTGACAGAAAACAAATAGGTTGGCAGCAACATTGCCTTATCATTAATACTGGGAGGTAATTTTTTCCATACAATGATTTATATAAATTCAGAGTGCTACCATTCTCTTAAACCCACTGACATGACAGAATTCTTGACATAGTTTTGGTGTTACCAGAATGATGAACAATGCCAAAGTAGAGTAACACAACCTATCCTATACGTTACAGTAGAGTGAAAGTGATATCCTCCTATTTTCCCTAAAACTGAATCTGGTTGAACGTCACCAACGCTCAAAACACTCATCTTTAAATGCCCTTACAGTGGTCCCAAAGTCATTCAATTGGACATTAATATTTTTTAAATCAACAATAGAAAATCCACAAAAAGAAAATCCACATTACAACAGGAAAAAGGGTGTGGGAGTATTACACGTATAAGGAGAGGAGGGGCCTGTGGGGTGCAGGAGGGGGATTGGGGTGAAAGGTCAGCAGAGGAGGCGGGTGAGTGTGAGGAGAGCTGCCAGGCTGGGCAGAGCAGGGCTGAGACTAGAGGCTCCACTGGATGACATGCAGTGGTCTCTGTTCTGGCCGATGCAGGCAGCATAGGCCATGACATGGGGAATGTAGTTCTGTTCATGGACACCGTGCAGCAGATGAGCCATCGGGCCCTTAGAAAACACAGCCACATCCTCTCCTCCATGAGTCTCCATACGCAGCGGCACTGCAGACTGGGCCTGGTAGTTATTTCCCTCTGGAGAGAGGGGCGGGGTGGAGAGAGAGAAAGGGAAGGAGAAAGAGATCAGACGGATGATTTCTGGCATACCAAAGACCAAGTGGTGTTCTCTATGACAGAGGACTGTCAAAATGGCACTATGTCATTGATGGTAAGACTTCACTTACGATAGTCAAGGGTGGAGACGTTCTCTCTCAGACCGTTGACTACTTTGAACCCTGGTCCGTTCCCATATAAGATGGCGGTAAAGGGCTGCTGGTCCACATCACTCAACATGGGAGCCAGTCCTGTGGACATAGAGGAAAATAATAACCCACCTCCATCACGATCAATTGTGAAACAAAGTGAATCATACCTAGATGACTGATACAGTGTAGCTACATACAATCCATGGTTGTAAAATCATCCATTACTCACCAAAGATGGTGTTCCCCCTTGGCGTGTAGCCTCCGAAGTTGAACATGTGAGAGTGGTCAGCAGTGACGACAGTCATTGTGTCATAGATGCTGGTCATGAGGCCGGCGCGGCCGATGGCCCTGTCCATCTCCACTGCCTCATGTAGGGCCTGCTTGGCTTTGCCCTCGTGATGCCCGTGGTCGATGCGCCCCCCTGCCAACGCACAGCCTGGTTAACCTCTCTCTCTCACGCAGATGAGAAAATCTAGCATCAGCATTGGCAAAGCAGACTCAGCTGTGCAAATTTTACATTCACATGATATAAATTATTAACCTGATGCAACATATATTTACTGGTGCCAGAGTAAATGTGACAAAACACCCACCCTCCACCAGCAGGTAGAATCCCCTGGGGTTTTTCCTCAGGATCTTGATGGCCACCTCCACCATCTCTGTCAGGGAAGGATCTGTCTCAGCGTTTCTCTCCAGGTCGTAGGGCAGATCTCCCGGCTCAAACAGACCTGTGTTAACACAGGAAGCATGGTTTAACAGTGAGAAGATGATTAACAGTGATCAACATGCACTGTAACGGAAAACTGTAATTTATAATGTAATTTTAATTGGGTAGTATCAACTAGTGGGTAAATGGTTTAGTTGTTTCTTGCTCATTAACATATTTTGAGGCATGCCTTGTAAGAGGCTATATTTGTTGCACCCGTTAGTGAGAATGTTGTACCAATTTAACTGGTATGTGGTGGTAGGGGACAGATTGAAGTGGGAGCAAGTCTTAAACCTTTATGGTTGAGCATTTTGCCATATCTTTTTGGTCTGTTTTGCCATGTAATCGCTGCCAGTTTGTGAAAGTGATATAAAACTCTAAATATTAATTGATATGCTGTATGTGTAAACAGATTACTTAGCAGCCAACCTGCTTGCACCAATCCCATGTAATTACAGTAAAATACTGTGAAATGCAAATCCCATGTCCCTTCAATGAATTTCATTCATTCATTATGATTTCACATGACTGGGAACACAGATATGCATCTGTTGATCACAGATACAGTACCTTAAAAGAAAGGTAGGGGCGTGGATCAGAAAACCAGTCAGTATCTGGTGTGACCACCATTTGCCTCATACAGCATGGCACATCTCCTTTGCATAGAGTTGATCAGGCTCCCACTCCTCTTTAAAGGCTGTGCGAAGTTGCTGGATATTGGCGGGAACTGGAACACGCTGTCTTACACGTCGATCCAGAGCATCCAAAACATACTCAATGGGTGACATGTCTGGTGAGTATGCAAGACATAGAAGAACTGGGACATTTTCAGCTTCCAGGAATTGTGTATAGATCCTTGCGACAAGGGACCATGCATTGTCATGCTGAAACATGAGGTGATGGCGGTGGATGAATGGCACCACAATGGGCCTCAGGATCTCGTCACAGTATCTCTGTGCATTTAAATTGCCATCGATAAAATGCAATTGTGTTCATTGTCCGTAGCTTATGCCTGCCCATACCATAACCCCCATGAGGCACTCTGTTCACAACATTGACATTATTATTTTATTTTTTTTGTCATTTAGCAGACATTCTTATCCAGAGCAACTTACAGTTAGTGAGTGTGTACATTATTATTTTTTTCATACTGGCCCCCCATGGGAAACGAACCCACAACTCTGGCGTTGCAAACGCCATGCTCTAACAACTGAGCTACATCCCTGCCAGCCATTCCCTCCTACCCTGGGCCAATTGTGCGCCGCCCCATGGGTCTCCCAGTCGCGGCCGGCTACGACAGAGCCTGGATTCAAACCAGGATCTCTAGTGGCACAGCTAGCACTGCAATGCAGTGCCTTAGACCACTGCGCCACTCGGGAGGACATCAGCAAACTGCTCGCCCACACAACGCCTTACATGTGGTCTGCAGTTGTGAGGCCGGTTGGACATACTGCCACATTTTCTAAAATGACGTTGGAGGCAGCTTATGGTAGAGAAATGAACATTCTCTGGCACCAGCTCTGGTGGACATTCCTGCAGTCAGCATGCCAATTGCACGCGCCCTCAAAACATGAGACATCTGTGACATTGTGTTGTGTGACAATACTGCACATTTTAGAGTGGACTTTTGTTGTCCCCAGCACAAGGTGCACCTGTGTAATGATCATGCTGTTTAATCAGCTTCTTGATATGCCACACCAATCAGGTGGATGGATTTTCTTGGCAAATGAGAAATGCTCACTAACAACAGGGATGTAAACAAATATGTGCAAAACATTTGAGAGAAATAAGCTTTTTGTATGTATGGAAAATTACTAGGATCTTTTATTTCAGCTCATGAAACATGGGACCAACACTTTACATGTTGTGTTTATGTTTTTGTTTAGTGTACAACCAACAATTTAAAAAAAAAATAACTCACCCAAAATGTAATCCACATTATTAGGATTTAGCGATTGAAGTTCTTTCTTGTTCCATATATACTGGGCTTTCTGTTCATTTAAAAAAGAAAACAATATATCATGTGACAACTTAAAACTATTCAAATGTCCTTGATAAGAAAAAAAGAGAAAGGAAGATAACTGAGAGAAGAACAAGGAGGAAGCAGCAGGACATGGTGAAGAGGAGTGAAAGACGGACTAAGACGGAGCAGCTGACCTTGTTTTTCATTCTGTTAGTCCACTCCTCCACCAAGTTCCTTCCATCTTTACGGGTACCAAAATGTTTCTTCTCTCCAGGATACTCCACATCTGACTGGTTTTTGGGGAACATGTACTTCCTCCCTCCTCCCATAATCACCTAGACATCCACCATAGAGATAAAACATTTGATTTATCGCTGTGGATATCCACAGCAAGAATAATCAGGAGAGGAATTATTATCTGTGAGTCGTTACATTACAGGTGCAAGTTACTCAATATTACTGGCTGAACAATGTACACAAAATAAATAGCAATCAATGTTTTCGACAATAGTTGTTGCTTATAAAAATGCTCTGTTTGCAGGATTACTGGATATTTTCTGTAATATCAGGATCCATATTATATGCTGTGACTCACATCGATGTTGGGAATATTCTCAAAGAGCTGCCTGGCGATGTCCTTGCAGCCCGCCTGTACTGCCTCAGCGGGCATCTCTCCATCGGAGAACCAGTCCCTGTCCACACAGTGGGCGTAGGCCGCGCTGGGGGTGGCATGGTTCACACGCGTTGTTGTGACTATTCCCACTGACTTGCCTGGGTGACAAACACACAAACAGTTTCGAACGTGCTGCTTGGATTCTGTGCAATAGTCTGCTAGATCTGGAGACAACCAATTGCTCCAAAGAATCTAGAAATTCTAGCCATTTGAAAAATATGACAATTTCTGTATTTTTTGTTTGTTCGTTCACATCATGGTTAGAGTACTTACTATATCAGACAGAGAATTGTGGTCGTATAAATATCTCCACTGAGGATCAGTGGGTCAGCAACTAAAGAGCTAAAGTCTGTTCCTGAGGTGAGTATGTGAAGTATCTTTTTCTGTGATGTGAAGTGCTCAGGTCATAAGGTCACAACCTGCCTGGTCTGGTTTCTGGGGAATTATTGGATCCCTGATCATCTCTAACCCTAAGTCGTTGGGGAATGCTGGGGACTCTCTGCCATATAGAAAATACATTGGTAGCTATTAACTCCCCATTGACATCCATGCATACCTACAGTACGTTTACAATGCTATCATGCTGTGTCTCTACTGATTATCCCAGGATGGCCAAATAAGCCTTAGTAGATCTGGTGTGGAGAGGTCCTGTGAATAAACATGTGTTATAATGAGACAGTACCTGCTTCCTTGGCCCATCTGAGGATGGAGGTGACCTCATTGCCCTGTGTGGTGTTGCACTGGGAACGGACAGCAGCTGCACTCACGCCCACGGTGCCCTCGTTGGCCTTCACCCCGCAGAGGTATGCCGTGGCCGTGCCCGCGCTGTCTGCTACCTGGGCATTGGTGTTATACGTCTGCAGAGACAGGGCAATACCATGTGTCAATTATATAGAATTGTAGTAGGAGACATTGTTGTGCATGCCGTGTTGGTGTTATCCACCCCCTCCAAACATTTTCACATCTAAATGCTCAGATTGTGTAATTACATGATCAATAATGTGTGGAATTTGCTGCCCCATTAACTATGGAGATACAGTAGTTATATTATATCTGGCTTCTTGCCAAGTATGTAACATAATAACACATCATTATCATAAGACATACCAGTGGTCACCAACCTTTTCTGAGTCAAGCTCACTTTCCGAGTCAAAATAAAATGCAAGCCGAGATCTACCGTTCAGATGTTTATTTTCAACATGACTTAAAAAACGTAAGCCTATGTATGCAACATTATCCTATTAAAAACAGTTCTGTAGCAATCCGGTTTGTAGCAGGCTATACAGTATGCTACATACATGATCTGCATATTGGCTTTTCTTGAATTGCCCTGCCAATGTTGTTCTTCTCAGACCATTTTGAAATGATATTTCAAAATTGTAGGTATATGATCACACTGGTAATAGATCATGTGTTGTATTACTTGTGAGGCACAGCTGACTGAGCATAATAATATTTTTTTATTTTATTGGACTGCATCTGATGGTCAGTCTGAGGGGAGGGAGGGAGCAGCGGTGAGGTTGCCTCTCACCCGACTCACCGTCCCTCCGCTCTCCCTCCCTCCGCTGAGAAAATAGGACACAGTCTTCCAGCTAATTGTGAAACTCAAGTCGCACTGCATTATTTCTGCCTCATGCAACAATTCATGTTGTTAATCCGATGTCCAGATAAAGTGAAATATTACTTGAGAGACAAGCCGCTAATAATAATGATGCAAGCTTATCGAAACACTTTGCTATACTCATTCATTGCAGCTGTAGTGCTGGTTGTAGCGTGACTAGAAGTAGGGAGAACGTGCATTTTATGGCTTATAAAAGTGTTGAACAAAGTGTTGACAGTGCTGAATAACAACTTAAACATGAACAGCAGCGCTTTGCTGTATTCGTTGAGTCTCTCTCTAGTCATGGTTTAAAAATTTTGAAAGCTCACAGTATCAACTTTGCTGTGCGCTCTAGGCTTATTTTTAACTGTGCAGACACGGTGACCTGAGCTATCAGATTGGCCAGTGGTAGGCCTGTAGGTACACTTGATTTGCTCTCTGAGCCTGTCGGCTAGGCAGAGTTCTACCTTCAGACACATGAACTGGTTCAAAATGGGAACATTTTGCCTTCCCGGTGCTAGGGCTGCTGAATCAAGTGCACCTACCGCCAACAGCACGAAACAAATAAATAAGGCTTTATCATTGTTGATTTTTACAGAAATGTTTGGTGATCGACTAGGAAGGCCTTGGAGATCGACAAGTCGATTACGATCGACCGGTTGGACCACTGACGTAGACCATATGTGGCCTTGTATCTTTCCGCTGGTGAAGAATTCATTAAGGGATCGTTCACACAAATTAGAAAATGACACATTGGTTTCCTTACCCTGTAAACAGTCTATGGACAAGGTATGACAGTAATCCCTTTACTTCCAGATCAATATTGCATGCTATTTTCTAGCGCTTCTATATGATAACAGACCAGGTCAGACCTTGGAAAGCGCCACAAAGGGGAACTTGTCCATCTCCAGCTGGGTCTCCTCTCCACTCTGTCCGCTCAGCTGCCCCTTCAGTATTCGTGCTGCAGTCACTGTGGGAATTCCCATTCCTACACAACAAAAGCAAAGTGGCGCACGCCCTGTTATGGTGTCAATCTATTTAAGGGAGACAGAGCCTTTCCATCTCATGCATTAACACCTTTTGATTTTCCATCTGGTTAACATTGCTCTGTGCTTGCTTTTCACAGCAGCTGCTCTTCCCACTGAAGAGACACCTCTACATTTGGTGGAAAGGACCCCCATCAAAATAGCTTTTACCTGAGATCTGCCTTTTCACAAGTCAACAAAATGTATCTTTTTAGAGGTGACTATCTATTTTTCCCTTAGTTTTCATATAGGTGTCAAAATACATGCTTTTGTAAAGGATGTGAACTGACGTGCACATCTACTTTATCCAGCATGACTTTTTTAAGCATGGTTATCATACATTACAGAGAAAGGTGCATTGTATACTGCTGCATAAAAACATAGACAGTTAAGGTCCTTTGGGGGACACAGTTTAATGGGTCACTACATATAGCAACATAACACAAAGCAGCAGCCAAGTTATCCATTGGCACTGGCAGCATGTTTGTGTAATGCTTGATGGCTACCATATTCAACATCAGATTTTGAAAGTGTCACATTCTATTTACTTCTGACTGGATTACATCAATCCACCAGAATGTTTTGTTAGAAACAGCTATGGATTGATGAGGAGGATATACTAGTTTCCTACTACAACCACTAGGAAAGATAATCTAGAACTGTATAAAAATATTAAATCAGTATGCGGCACATAAGCTCTTTGAGTGCATTACATTGCGTTAAGACTTCACTTTATCATACAGAATGGCACATACTCATGGATTGAAATAGGCTCTTGCAATCATGGCTTACCATCACCAAGGAAGAGGATGAGGTTCTTTGCAGTGTTTTGGTTGAGCTTCTGAAGTGTGAGGGCATTCTTCAAAGTACGCTGGGCCCATGTGTTCCAGAACAGGGGATCTTTCTCTTGGTCTGCAACATGGAGGTAGAGTTTTAGTTTTAAATGAGGAAGAAAAGAGGCCAGCGGAAGTGATCTGTAACAACTGTGAAAGTTGTTGGACAAGTTGGACGGAATATGCCCAAATTCAATCAAATACACGTTGAGGTTCATCCATGGAAGCATTCTTTGATGGACAAAAACTTGATAAACACAGAAAAGATAGAAGCCATTAGTAACTTATTCACTTGTATTTCATAACCTAGTTATAACCTTTCTAATTAATGTTTTATCCCCAGAAGATGACAAAGTTCCTTTGTGAGTAACTAATTCCTTTAATGTTTTCAAGTCTCAGCATGACATATAATATGACCAAGTATGGACGATAATATCAAAGAACCAACAGGATGACTATAAGCACATACACATGTACTGTCTGTATTGATAATGACAAGTTCTGTAGGCTCTGGCAACCATAGAACCTCTGACAACTCCAGCGTGTAAGCTTCTTATTTCTGAAATCACATGTTGCCTACTATAGGCTAGAACTGCACATACATGTATGATGTTACGACAAGAAGGAACCTAATCTTCTTACTGTATGGGTAGAAATAGTATACATCTGGAATCCATTTTATGAACCTCTCCTGATCTGTACATAATCTTTCAGGAGCTAAATGATTCTGGTCATTTTGTAGAGAGGACAAAGAAAATGGAGGTTCACTTGCCATCGTACTGTAAATACAGTGTGAACTTTGTTTAGCTGGGTAAATAGACTGACAGTTATAACCCTAACAAGACGTGTTATTCTAAACAAGACGCAATAAACCACTGATAAGTAGCACTTCCTTCATAAGAGCATTTGGAGACTTCTGCACATCTCCAATAAATCAAAGCCCAATTTTGTTTCTCCTCCTTCTCCATGAAGTGTGCACTCATTCACTCCTCCTCAAGCATTAGATTGGTGTAAGCATGTGCTAGAGTGAGTCTCCACCACATTTCCTAAACTAGTCCCTTTCCTTTCAAATCTATGAGCAGGAGTGAACAAGTGCACACTTCAGGGAGAAGGGGGAGAGAAACAGTTAGTATGTGTCCCATCTTAGCTCTTCCTGAAGGATTTCAATCAAACAGTTGGATGCTGTTACGAGACATGACATTTATTGACAGGTGTGTGTCTCACCAGGAAACTGAGGCTTCCCCAGGCCTCCCCAGGCCAGGCACGAGCAGATGATGAGCAAGAATGTCACCTTCATGATGCTTTCTCTCTATGGTTGTAGTGTTACCTGGGACTACTGTCACATACCACGTCCCAAACTAGAGGGAGTCTGTAAAATAAGGAGAAATCAGAGCTGATGAAAGAACACACAAAATTCAGTTGATTCACAGAAATAAAGTTGATGAGTTTGCTGCAAAGTGCAGCAAAGAAGGGTTCAACGTATATTATTACACCCCCCTCCCCTGTCCCTGTCCCTCCCCCTCCCTTGTCCCTCCCCCTCACCTCCCTTGTCCCTCCGCTGTCCCTCCCCTGTCCCTCCCCTGTCCCTCTCCTATCCCTCTTCTGTGCTGTGGTCAAGGTCGCTTTAATGGGATTGTGGGCCATACCACAGAGAGATTTAACTGCCATAACAACGCCGATTAACACCAAATGATTGACTGGACACCTCCACCAACAAGCAAATGAGAGAACATTTTTAAATTAGGTTTAGAGTTTATAAAGAAGAGAGTTTGGCAAATGTATTGTTACACATGCTATAAATAAGCATTATGTGCTTAAAATAAAATGGTATTTCACAAAGTCTTGAAACTGTGTGCGATTGAGTCCTGTTACTTTGCTATTAAAACAGACAATGCAGACAACCCAAGTCCTACAGAATTTGTATGAAATATGCTAAAGTTGAGCTCATATAAAGCTGCTAGCTGGTCTCTAAGGAGAGGAGAGGTTTTACCGTGCCACATACGCAGGCCTATCCTCTGAGGGAAGCTCAGAAGTGGTCGGGCCCACCAATCGGCAGAACACTAGCCAGCCTGCAGGTGAAATAGCAGAGCAGTGCCAGGATGGCCACCAGGAGAATGCCAGAGAAAAGGAGGGTCACTGCCATCGAGAGTCCATCTTGGCCCATGGTGTCAAGGAGAAAAAGTGTCCAGGTAGGAATCCGTATCAAATAGAGAGGCAGATGTTTCCAGTTTCACCTGCCAGCTCTGTACCTGAGCTCTAGGAGATGAGGAGTGAGTCCCTGTACAGAGTTCAATCTGTTTGAGTGGATCTGGGATTAGGTTTAATAATGTTGTTGAGCTCAGGGCTCAGTGACACAGGCTCCTCCATTCTGGGATAACACCAACCTCAGACACATTCCCCCAAACAGATTATGTTGGCCCTCCAAAATGTGATGGAAGAAGGTATCAATCCAGTTCAATCAATATTGTGTTCCAACTGGCATGTTAGGATCCTTTACTTTCAAGAACTCTGGGTTTTGGCTTTATCCTAGGGTATGCTGTACACTGTGTAGTGTACAGAATATCTATGGTGATATTGTTAATGTCTCAGTGTCTCTAGCACTGGCATTCTTTTCCCCTCTGAACTACCATTGCCTTATTGAGGAGATGATAAGATGTAATGCCTGTAGCGCTTATAAAGGCTCCATGAATATCTGCATAAGACCATTTATTTACATTACATTTTAGTCATTTAGCAGACGCTCTTTTCCAGAGCGACTTACAGGAGCAATTAGGGTTAAGTGCCTTGCTCAAGGGCACATCAACAGATTTTTCACCTAGCCAGCACAGGGATTAGAACCAGCGACCTTTCGGTTACTGGCAAAACGCTCTTAACCACTAAGCTACCTGCCGCCCCCTACATAAAATGAGTTATTAATTAAGTCATTAGATAAGGCATAGTACAGGAGAAATTGTAGATGAGATGATATCATCCTCCCCTAAGCATAGGCTACACATTCCACTCCATTAGTGTCGACTCAAACACAAATCACCTTGGAAGATAAGTGTGACCATGTCTAGGGAGCAATGACTGTCTAACATTGGCCTTTGTTAAAATAAAACCTGAAAATAACAAAGGCTTGCCATGTGTTTTTTTTCTTCTGTTTACTGTAAAGGGTGAACATGTCCAACCAACTGAGGTATTGTGCATCACAGTGTATTAGTTAATTGCAAGTCGGATTGAGTACATTGTAGAATGCTCAATCCAAATGTATGGATTGAAATATTTGCTCTATATTCTGTGTATTCATCCACCTCTTCAACTGTGTTGGTGTGAAACAGTACCTTCTGACAATTATTTTCTAGAGAACTAGTATCTGTTGTGAATTCTGACATTTATCTTACTATGGTTGAGCACTCACCACTAGTTGACCTTTATAATGATGAAAATTAACATCCAACAGCACAGGATACCAACCAAAATGAATTAAGTGGGCTGTATGCCTAGATACGTGATTTAGTGTAGTGATGTGAAAACTTGCAAACAATCATCACAATCTCAAAAATCAGATATTGGTGCAAACACTAACTTAAACAACTTTCCCGAAAGGAGTATACATACTGCTATTGTTGTATTGATGCTCAATCACGTGTTGGAAAGTTGAGTTCTACCTACAAGAATCTGCAATCACAAAAACCTACACCACAGCTACATTATAGCGTAATATAGCTTTAAAAAGATGGAAAGCGATACACGAAATTAAATTATGTAGCGGATTATTTAATTGCACCGATTTTCCTGATAATACAGCCAATTGCAAGATTTTTTTTTCATATTTTCTAAATTGCCTGCACTCGATAAACCATTGAAATCTCCTGATATTCCATAGCCAATTAATGCAAAAAGTTAAAGGAATACACTTACTGCGGGATCTATTTAAGCTTCTGTAGCAAAAACACTTCTGTCCGTTGACAAAGCACGTTCACCTTTTCATGTGTATTCCTGAGGCGCATTTGACCATCGTTTTATAAGCCTATGCACCAGCTCTGTCTGTACGGCTGAGTATAGCGGTCGGTATTTCACCTCGATGGCGAGAACCACCCTATAAATAATGCCACCATAATATGAAGAGCTGGATCTTGAGTGCCGCCTGTCGACCTATTTCACTGTTGCATTTAGGCTACTCGAATTATTTTTATTCACGTTCATTCGCCTTTATTTAAAGCAGCCGAGTTCATTGTCAGCTTGTGAAAAACTAAAACATATTATAGGCCTACATACTTAATATAGAGGTGTATAAGTAGCTTATAAACTGTCATTAGTTTATTTATAGCCTAGTTTATAAATGTGTAAAAAACAGTTGCTTGACAAATGTTAATATTATATGACTGCGCTTAATAAACTATACTGACTTTTACTATTATTAGTCTATTGCAGTACAGCCATATAAACTCAATAACTATGTGGCAAGCAGCTAAATAAGCACACAATTTCAACCAATGTCCCATTACTAACCCTGGCCTCGGCAATCTAATCAAATGCACCAATTTATCCTCAGTGATTTTTGTTGTTAATTTTGTGTCCTTTACATGTCACTAGCGACCGTAACCGTTCACAAAATGGTAACGTGACCCACTTGTTTTATTGAGGGAGTTCGATTAGGCTGAACTGGGTTGCACCGGGCTATGGCCTGTCATGTGACCGGCCAAAAGCACTGAGGGTGGAGCGCCCTTTACAAATCGAAAAGTGGTGTATCGGGTTATTGGAAACTCATGCTGTTCTGCTCGAACAGTACTCTGCACCGCCATATTGTCAATGTTAACCAGGCAGCACGGTGCATCATTCAGAAACACACAACATGTATTTTCCATAAGATAGGCATATGCTTGAATTTTAGATGTAGTTTTGCTTGGGAAGGCAGATATCATATGCGTTTTTATGAAGAGCAAACAACACTTTTGTATGTGAAACCTCAGAATTCAAAGTCATTAGTTCACATTCTTGACATACTTAAATTTGTTTTGAGCCGACTTCGCCCTTTGGCTTTGAACGGGGCACCCGACAAACGCCCTGGAGGCAGTCTGGTTTCAAAACGAATGTAATCACTTTTCACCCAGAACAAACTGGGTGCCCATCCGGGCACCTGGGCCAGCTTAATCGAATCCCCTCCTTGGCTTCCTCTCATACAGGAAGGCTACACTACCTACCCTCTCTCTCCAAGCATCCCATACACAAACAACCCCCAGTGTGAACAGGCAAACACTACTGGGATTATCTCACCACTGCCACCAGTGTAGCAATTGTGGGGGAATAGACATAGCAGGACTTACATTTTCGTTGTGAGGTAAGTACGCTATTACCGGAGGGCTTCACCTGCACTGACATACAGGGAGGCTACAACATTTTATCAGTATATTTCAATTAACTAGCAATCATTGTTTGGATAAAATAATTTACTGAACTGAATAATAGTAGGCGTACTTAGTATAGGCACCATCTGAGTCTATTCCTGTTAGTTTTATTACAATATCTTTTTTTTCTGTAAGAACAAAAAACTATTATAGCAAAGGATGATTACAAAGATTGGACCAGCCAGAGCCAAGAGTTTGTTAACTTCTACATCACCATTAGGCCTAGTAGCATGGCACCCAAGGCTAACTTTCACACATTTCCTGAGGAACTGTGAAAATGAGGGCATTATAATAATAATTATAATCTCTCTGATCCTATTAGACACTCGTTTACTTTAGAAGCTTATTGTAGTTTTATTTTTCTTTGATCTCCACACCTTAAGTGATTGCGCTGCATGTTAATACTGTAACGAAATACCCAGTCAACAATTCAAGTTCTTTAATCCTTCAACACTTGAGACAATTGTGTAGGCCTATGTGAACAAATTCAAATGAATTACAGCTAAACCACCCCTTATTGCTTTATATAAATTATCTATCTCCATTAGGAATATTTTATTTGCAAATCCTTGAAAATTGCATAAGCCAAAACAGGTAGCAGTTGTAACCTAATTAGGGCCAATATACTTGAATAATGTACCTGGCTGTACCTACATGTAGGCTAAACTATCATGTACTGTAAATACAAAGGCATATTGTTTTGGATAGTAAAGTGGGACCCTTTTTTCCGCAGGATAACTTTTTGCACATTAATTGCAACCACAAATCAAGTGAAACTTTCTAAGAAAAGGTAACGAAACGTTTTATTAAGACCCGCCCATTCTCAAATCCTGTTGGTTAGAATGATAGAGAACCGTCGCTTCTCATCCTGCTATTGGTCGGAAATGCTTTTTCAACCGTAGCTTGTAAACTCAATATTTACAGTGAAGCTTTCACGTTGTGTGGGGACACGACTGAAAATACAGTTCATGTTGTTTGTAGCGTCTGGGACACCAACAGCTGTCCGCTGAAGGCATATGAGAGGATTGTATAGACGGGGTGAGCTGAAATAATGGTGGTAAGAACCTGTTCCGTTTAAAATGTATATTAATTACATACCATATGTTTATTAAATGAATGTGTTGGCTGCCGTTGGTGTAAACAAGTCATCTATATTTGGACCATTTGACCATCTCTGTGCGATGACCCGATGCGCAAAACATGTATGGTGCTCAATTACAATTTTCACTAATGTTTGCCACAATGAAATGAGGTAGTGTTAAGTTGACCACATTTAAAATACCCAAATACGGGACAACAGTATGATTTTGCTGGACATTCGCAGTTTTGACCGCACGATAAAAAAAAATTTATTTCAGTTAAATCTCATAAGAAATTAGGTGCTGTTTTTGGTGTGACAGTAACGTTATACTACGCTATTATAGGTATATTTGGTTATGTTATGTAGAATACTAATTAATCAGTATGTGATCTTCCAAGACATTGCTTCAGCTTTGATCTAACTTTACTAATTGAGCACCATACAGCTCCGGCTGTACCGAACGAGCTACTCTGAACAAAAATATAAACGCATGTAAAGTGTTGGTCCCATGTTTCATGAACTGAAAAAATAAAAATCACAGACATTTTCCATATGCACAAAAAGCTTATTTCTCTCAAATTTTGTGGACAAATGTGTTTACATCCATGTTAGTGAGCATTACTCCTTTGCCAACATATCAAGAAGCTGATTAAACAGCATGATCATTACACAGGTGCACCTTGTGCTGGGGACAATAAAAGGCCACTTTAAAATGTGCAGTTTTGTAAGCAATGCCAAAGATGTCTCAAGTTTTGAGGGAGTGTGCAATTGGCATGCTGAATGCAGGAATGTCCACCAGAGCTGTTGCCAGATAATTTAATGTTCATTTCTCTACCATAAGCTGCCTCCAACGTCATTTTAGAGAATATGGCAGTATGTCCAACCGGCCTCACAACCGCAGACCACGTGTCACCACGCCATTCCAGGATCTCCACATCCGGCTTCTTCACCTGCGGGATCGTCTGATGGGGGTAGTGCTGAGGAGTATTTCTGTCTGTAATAAAGCCCTTTTGTGGGGAAAAACTCATTCTGATTGGCTGGGCCTGGCTACCCAGTGGGTGGACCTGGCTGCCAAGTGGGTGGGCCTATGCCCCATGGCTGTACCCCTGCCCAGTCATGTGAAATCCATAGATTAGGGCCATAGATTGACTGATTTACTTATATGAACTGTAATTGTTGCATGTTGCATTTATATTTTTGTTCAGTATAACTGAAGCGCACCTAGCCTACTCTTCCCTCGTGCAAAATTTGGTGATGCGGAAACGAGAGACCACATGTATGGCTGTTTTATGAAAATCTAGGAATATGTGGACAAGGAAACAATTCTAGTTGGTCTCAGGGATTGAGACTTTTAAAACGGAATTGTGTGAAGTGTGGTCCTCTGTAGCTCAGCTGGTAGAGCACGGCGCTTGTAACGCTAAGGTAGTGGGTTCGATCCCCGGGACCACCCATACACAAAAAAAAAAATGTATGCACGCATGACTGTAAGTCGCTTTGGATAAAAGCGTCTGCTAAATGGCATATTATTATTATTATAAGTAGCAGCAAATATGTTGAAGGAGAAACTAATGAACATGGAGAACTTCCCAGGTTCAAAGGCAGGTACAGCTACAAATGTACCTGCCTTTCAGTCTAATATGGCTATTTACTTACTTTTGTAGCTCTTCGTCAAAAACACACTTTTTGTAAGTAGTGAGGCCTAACTGTCCTCTCCAAGTTTAGCTGGAATTTATCCCGAAAGGATTTGGGAAATGTGATTGGGTGACGATAGGCCTATGACATTGGCATGCTTGTCTTGCTCAGAATATCAGATATCAAGTGTTTAACATCAGTACCACATACTGATGATATAGGCCTACATCTTTTCATAACCACAACCTGACTGCAAAAGACAGGTTGGAATGTCTCATTCTCCAAATGAGTGGTGTTTGAATTTGTTGATAAAATGCAGGACATTATTGTTTGGTTGCGGGACAAAAGACCACAGTCAGAGACATGTGGTCACCCTAGTGTGTTTAGCATAATTCCCAGCGGGAACCGGTTTCTGCATTACCAAAACAAGTCGTCCTCGGATTTTAGTCTAGCATACTCACTGACTTAAATAATCGTTTTTGCCTCATGATCATGTTGGCAGACACTGTATAGCCTACTACTACAGGAAAGATGGTTTGAAAACACTATTGAACACACTTTTTCATTGAAAAAAGAAAAATAATAATGTTGAATCCATAATTGGTTTGTCACTTGTTGTTACCATCCTTGTTTGCATAGTGGTTATTCATTAGCCTATCTAGGGCCCAGGGGTGAGCATGAGAGTTGCTTGGAAATCAATATGAGCCCTACATGCAGCAGCAGACACAGGTAATCTAATGTTATCTAGGCCTACCTGAGCTGTAAATCCCACATCATGCAGATAACATATTCTCCATTGGTATGTTACACTTGGAAATTAGCCTACATGGTGCCTCCCATTCATTGTGCTGTAGCCTTTACAGTTTTTTTGTGGGACATTTTTTGTGTGTGTAGAATTTAAGGTTATGTCACTGACTGACATCATATCAGATACAGAATGATCAACTGCAGTATTGTTTTACTGTACACATGACTGTATAAGGGTTATGTA